ATTTCCTATGGGAGTAAATCGATCAGAAAAGTTTAAAGCTGGAGATACTTGAAATTCTTGAGCTTCAGGGAAGAGAGATGTTCCCAAGAAAACACAAATAGGCACTGGTGAACCCAGCTACGCAAATTTAGCAAAGGTATTTTACATCTACTTCAAAGTAATAGATTTTATAATAACTAATAGTCACTCAAGAGCTGAACAGAAAAATTATTCAAAATCTTGAAACTCTCCTCACAAGTACACACTTAACAGAAACGTAGGTTCAAGATATGCTTCGGCTGCATGGCCCCAATTTCAGCCATGACCAATGGATTACTCAGCTTCACCTGTTGCAAGGAAAATGCCAGCTCACAGAAAGATTGTTGACATCTGTTCAGAAATATCTGAGCTCACTCAGCCAAACTGAAGATCAGTTGTTTTCTGAAGGGGTAAAGTTGATAACAATGACTGTGATGATGCCAGAAACTAACATTGCAATACCACGTGATTTCAGTGTTCTATGTGACGTTAAAACTTGGTTTTGGTCTACAATCAAAAAACAACTTCTCAAGTGCTGTATGATTTTTCATGTATACTTCATAATGTAGAGCTGACAGACTATGCAAAAGAAATCAAGTAGTACAGCTGAAGATCACTGATTTTTTTTTTCAGATTTGTAAGTTATTCTTTTACTCATATTCAAAACTGTAAAGCTTTAAGAGGATCTCTGTACCAAGACTAAGTTTTACTAGAGGGTGATAAAAGAGCTTCTGTTCCAAACTCAGTGTTCGATGTCTTAATTATGCAATTTCTAAATTTTATGGGGATAACAGACCTGCAACTTTTCAGTTTTCTATCTTCTTGAATGGTCATGTTCTGTGTGACCACAAACCTCGCTTGTGTAATGTCAAATTTGCATGCCTAAACTGACCCACACTGGGACAATCTGGCCTTGAATCTATATTGGTCTGAATTTAGGAAACACATCTCATAAAGTCTCTCAAATAGTGGGAACTATATGCCATAGCAGATAGTAGCGTAGATGAAGAGACTCATATTCTGGGTTCATTATTTAATTATTACCTCTATTACAGTCATGCCCAGAGTCCTCTCAGGATTGGAGCCATATAGTTCCATCCTCTTCAATCCAGTTGATCAGATAAAAGCTCCGAACTTACTATGGGAGCAAAATACATGTACAGAAAAACACAGATTTCCACTTTAAAGAGCTCACAAGCTACTTCTTGAGTTTTATTCCTATCTGAACCACCTTCTGCTATAAGTCAGAGCTTTACTCCAGTGCCTACTACTTTTCAGTGGCTCCATTTTGAATACCCAACTTTGACACCTGATGCCTGAATTTTACAGGCACTCAGAATTCCCAGAAATCCAGGTGAAATTAATAGGAGATTCAAATGCTCAAGTTGGTAAATCAAAATTAGTAAACACTTTTTTGTACCACCCAATTTTAAATATGGTTTTCCTATTTAATTCACTGAAATGGTGAAAATTAATGGCCATAAAGTGGATTGAAATCCTGGTACATAAAGCACTAAAGAAGTATAAAACATCAGTGAAATCTGGCCCTTTGACTCCCACTGATGTCCATAGAGTCAGAGTTTTATCATATAAAACTTAAACAAGCAGAAATACTTAAAAAAAACATTTTTAAACATGCCAAGCTTGTTTTTCTACATTAAAAAATATTTGGTTTTGGTTTTTTTACTGAGATCTAAAAATTAACCACAGTACTTCTTTAACTGGGGAATATATTCCCAGGGCACGTACCACGTCTTTTAGGGAGAATCAGAGAAATCCATGCTAAATAGAATGAGAAAATGTTTCTCTGATTTGCTTATTCATAGTTATTAAGGAAAATCAGTGGTTTTAAGCACAGCATTTGGATTACATCCATGTTTTTAAAGTCCCATAGTTTGAGAATATTGTGGTTGGGTTTTGGTTTGGTCTCTTATAAAACTATGGCCTGTTTCCAAAATGAATTAAGGATAGAGCTAGTCATAATATTTAATTAAAATGTTTTCCATTTAAATATGCCATTTGAATCTAAACAGTTTTTTGCAGGAAAATGAAGCGATTCTGATAACATTTCTTTTTTTAAAAAATGCATAAAAATGCATAAAATGTTGACTTTGAATGAAAAATATTGATTTTTCATTTTGAAATATTTTATTTTATACTGAAAAAAGGGACAAAATCAAAAAGACTAGTTTTAATTTTTGAAGTATTTCATAAAATAAACTCTTTTTGGTATTTGGTTTATTTTGAAGCATATAAAAAAGTTGTCTTTTCATCCAAATTTAATTTTTTTAACCTCAAAATTTTCCACACAGCAATAAAATCTATTTTTAAACCAGCTCTAATTAGGGGAATAAACATGTTTTAAGTGTTGGAGAGAGACTGAATCCAATATTTTGTTTAAGAAACATCTCTACTTAAGACTCAGCAAAAGTAGAACAATTTGTCCTGACTCATTGGTAACCAAATGATAGTTGCTATTTTGTTCACTTTGGGGAAGCAAAATGCCAAATAAGTCCCCTTTAAACTTTCCAAAGAGGTCAATAAAATATTATGCACTTTGTAGAGTGATTATCAGATAAAATCTCTGCAATCTTGGAGTAAGTTATACTATATAATATACATATAAATTACTATTAAAATACTTGCTGAGTTACTTAAAATTTGTCAAGAGCAGCTTACACTTATGCTTCCTGAAATAGATGTGATGAAATAATTGTCTTGGGCTCAAATATCAAACTTGGGTAAATATCGGTGCATTGTCTATTCCTGAATAATCAAAGGGTGATAGTTTTGCTGCTACAAGAATTTTTTGTAATCTCTGCTTGCTACTCCCATGTGACTTTGATAAATCAAATACCATATTTCAGTCTACATCAGTGAACTTCTATAAATCAGCCTTATGCATTCCATAGTCTTGAAATAACCCAATAGATTTATCTAAAAATCCACTATTTGATACAAACTCCTGTAACAAATTAAAGCAAATAAGAAAAAAATCAACATCCAGGTTTGAGTGATAAATATGTGAAAAGCTGAAAAACAGCTTAGAATGACAACAGTAATGGAAAGCTAACTGGAATACAGCTGAAAAAGAAAGATAAAATGAGAAAAGAAAAATGATAAAAAATGTTTATATTTGTAAAATAGGAAGGATTGATGTACTTTTAGATAATTCTAGTGATACATTCAAGAACTGCAGTATAGTACAAGTCAAAATTCTTTCTGCATATAAGCTTCAGTTCTTCCAAGTTCTCTAGAAATATTGTTTGGTCTAAAATTATTTTAAAAGTTTATTTGTAAACATAACCATTTGTCAGACTACATTACTTTATAAAAAGTTGCAGGAAGTTACTGTCTTCTAGATATATTGGATTAGGTGTCATTATTAATTATTATTATTACTATTGTTAGACTCCATCTGACAGTCTGAACAAAAGTGGCTAAGTAATCAAATTCTATAAAACCCTTGTCATCACAGCCTGATGGATCATTCCTCAAAGGCAACAGACTTTCAGTGAATATGCCAGAGGGCAAAGAGTATACCATCGGTGTACAGGAGCAAAGAAGGCACAAGCCCTTTGGCTATTTCATTGAGAGGGGGAAAAAAATATCTGTTTTTTAGGAAGGCCCATGAACAGGCAAAATCTAACAACAAAACTGTTTTCAGTATTATAAAGACTGTGTGATTAGCTGTGAAATATTATACACGGACACACACTTATGTGCACAATATGTTTAGAATATCCAATTTTGCTGAGAATTACTTTTTTTCCCCTTCTGTATCTTGTCTGATTAATTTCTGTGGGAGGAGAGAGAACTGCATGGTTTCAGTTTGAGAGCTGTCTCTCTCATATTGGTTTGTTAGCTTCTCATTTCATTTCCTTGTCCAATATTACCAGGACTATTGATATGCATTAAATGAAAGGTTTTCATCGTCATCTAACTAAAGTCGACCATCAGGTGATGTGCATCAAATCTCATTAGTGTGTTGATTTCGTTCAACATCCTTTTGAAGGAATGCTTCATTACCATGCAAATAGAAATAGCACTTGTTTTCATACTGGCTAATTGCTACAGACTATCACATACAGACCCCTTAGAGTCAAATTCTTTCCTAATTTAAAACTTGTGCAATCCCATCCAAATCTGTCAGGTTATGCAACAGAATTCTACTATGCCCATCAGATGGGCAAGCCACCACATAACATCACATGGGAAGGTACCTTCCTTTTCATTCCGCAATAATTAGTAACTAAGAAACTGTACTGAATGCTAAAATCTCCCATACATGTATTATCATGTTTCCAACAGTGATTAATGTAAACACATAATGCACCAAGTTATGCTACAGAAAGGGGGGGAATGGGTTAGAGTTAGGATTACTAGCTTTATATTTAATATGCAGAAGTGGAAGCAAAGACACAATGAAATGGAGCCATTAGGTTGCACGTATAGATTTCAAGATAATCTGAATTGCAAGATCTATAGCTAAAGGCATATTCTATATTTGATTTTACTATATACACTACTGGAAGGTCTTCTGTAAAAATCTCTCCAGCTAGCAAAACTTGTTTTTCTTCAGCTACCATCAACCAGCCCAGATGCCATCCATAATCTTTCTGATAATGTAAGTTGCTCTAACATCCCAGAACTCAGTTATTTTGAACAAATTTTGTTGAAAAATAGCCAACCAAAGCAGTCATCTGGTCTGGGATTCTTCACTGAAACAAAAGCTTTAATTCATCTAACATTGAAACTTTTTTTACTGAATTTCTTTGTGGTCCTTTAGATTAGCTTGCAGAATTACTATTTGGTTTTGGAAAATCAGAACCACTATTTAAAAAACAAACAAACAAACAAAGACAGCACACTTAACTGAATTTATACCGGCTCTGCGACCAATTCATTGTTATGTTTAAGCTGAGCTATTTCATTTCCGTGAGGCCTTCTCCCCAGGGATCCTACTCCCCAAGCCATTTTCTCAGAGCTCTGCCTGTATTTTGAAAAGAAATCTGCTGGGACAAGAACTAAGAAAATGAAATACAAGACAGGAGCTCAGAAAGTGAGAGTATGCATAAGAGAATAAAGGAAGGAGAGTCGAATGGGATAAATAAAACAGTTGGATACAAGAAAGCAAGAAAGCACACGGCTGCAAGCTAAAAGAGAAATCTCATTGCCAACTCAGAAGAAACTCCTGAGGCTGATTACAAGATTCAAATGTAAGTAGTACTGCTCTTGCAATAAAAATGAGCATTTATTAAAATTTTAATATTCCAACACAATTTATTTCTCTACTTCACTATTCCCAATTCCCATACCAAATGTAATCTTCTTTTTACCTATTACCTATATCTGTGAGTTGCATTCATTTTTTTAAAATTCCCCTAAAATAATATATGTTTATATAAAAGCATTGGAAAAGGCCCCTGAAACAAGTTGTTTACTTAATCATAAAAAATTGAAAGCCCTGATGACAACGGACTAGTCATTAATTTGTTATAAATCAATGTAAAAATATATGCCCAAATCTTAGTCCCACTGAAGTCAGTAACTGAACATCCATGTGGTTTCTTTTGAGAAGTCAACACTTTTAGGACAAAATTTCCAGTGAGCACACTAAATTTGAGCTTATTAAGTCACACAGCATGTTGGACTGAAAGACTATTCTAGTTCTAAATGTGTGCACGGATTATATCTGTTGCATCACCATTGACCAGAGTGAATTTGTGCCAGTTGCACTGATAAACATAGACATTAAATAGTGAATGGAATCTGTGACTTTGTCTAGTCCTCTCAGTTGATCTCAGACTCTTTCGTGTGACATTAAAGGATGTAATACATTTGCTGATTGGTCTCACAAAAAATCAAGAGGCAGTAGAAGTTATTTCTGGGCTGACTGAACATGAGCTCTCTTACAGCTGTCATAAGATAAATGGCCTTGCAGCCAAAATGTACAATAAAAAAATGGGTGATATGGCATAAACAAAGGGCGTAGTAAAGCACAGGGCATGGTGGAAGACTTTTCATGATTCTCTTTATTCAAATATTTTTGCAGTTCCTCGCTATTCAGAGAATGATGGAGGGAGGGAGAATAGTTCAGGTCCTTTTGGCAGGTTGACCTTTCCACTAGATAAAGTGGCTTTGCAACTCAGAAGACCTATGGCAGATGGTCATGGGACATGCTCTTAGAGTTGGAATCAATCTAAAGCTGTTTGGATACCAGAACAATACAAATATTGACACAAATCTTTGCACAAATAATGATTTCATTGTATAAATAATAGTGTAACCTTATACACTTAGCATTTTATTTAACATATACTCATTTAACTACAGTGAACAATTCATTGTTACACTTAATTGGGCCAACTTTGTTTTCTAAGAGTTTTCTCTCCTAAGTCATATTCTTAGCAACTTTGTTAGGAATTCTACCAAGATATGAACTAGAAAAATAAAATACATCTCAGGAGGCTGACAGAAACAAAATACACACGTGAATAATGTCTGGAAAGTAAAATGTAATAAATAAAGCAGATGGAAGTGAAAAAGCACACTGCTCCAAGCTAAAAAGAAATTTTTTCAATCTCAAAACTAACTCTTGGGGCTGAAACAAAGGTTCAAACCAAACCATTACTTATTATTCTTTGTTCTTTGCAAAAGTTACAGAAATTGCATCTAATGCATAAACATTCACTAAAGGCCTTCATGTTATGTATGTGTCAATTGGGTTTCTTATATTGATGAATTTAAACACATAGAAATAGACAATGAGATGAAAAAGGAAAATGAAAAATGAAGTATATAAGTATGAAACTAGATTTTCATGGGAATGTGAAAGATGCCAGTTGAAAAGTGCTGGTGAGTAAGGGCCAGTTTCAGAGGGGAGTCCAAGAAATTCTAGAGGGAGCCTAGGTTGGTGAACCTTACATCTCCTTTCTGTTCCAAGACACAGCTTTGACTTAATGCCTTCTTCTGGTTATACTCACTGAAAGGGACAATTGGACAGGAATAAAGACCCTCTGGTGAACAGATTCCCATCTCTCAAATCACCTAATCCCCATCTTTTAACTTATTTATTTTTTGAAAAATAATAGAATTCCCACATTATCACAAAGTACAGCTAGTTATAAAATTCAGTTGCATAAATATACCATGTATGTATATGTGTGTGAGAGAGAGAGTGAGAGAGAGAGAGAGAATGATGACTAGGAAAGAAAGAGCAGGAGAAAAGGTCAGTTTGGATTGTATGAGCTAGTATAAGTGAGCTGATTGAAACTAGGAAGTACAGAAAATGTCAAGTGAATGAGCTTTTCTGAAGAATATTCCAAACAATTTTCTGTTGTGTTTCTGCCATTTCAGAAAAAAGAAGAGGAATAATGGGAGGCTGTTTTGTGAATTTTAGTTTAATTGTATTAGTTAGCAGCAGGGACAGAAAGTTAGTCCCTACCATAAGAAAAATACTTTGAATTAAAGCAGGGTCACTAAGAGAGAGGTCAGAAAAAGGAGCAGTTGTTCTGGGGCCCAGTGATTTGAAAGGGCCGGGTCTCTGAGCTGCTACTGTGGCAGCAGTGGAGGGTAGAGACTCGGGCTCTTTACATCGCTATCAGAGCTTGGCACAGCACTATCTGGGTGGCACTGAAGGCTAGATGGGGGAGGTATGGGATGCTCTGGGCAGTGCTGAGACCTGGCTGTTCCTAGCCCTGTCCCCTTCCATCTGAGGCCCTGCCCCTTTCAGGGGCCCAGAGCTGAGCCCTTGCCCCCATATTGCCAAAGGGCCCAGCAAAGTTTGTCACCAGCTCTGATGTAAGGAAAGGGAGATTGTGTGCATGTGCCATGCTTCACAGAATCAGTAGCAGTTCCTGAAACCAAGAACTAGATTTTGGCTGCCTGTGTAACAGCATCAGTAGGGAAGAGGGCATAGAAACCAAAGAAATAATGCAATAACTTGAAGTAGAACTCATCAAGTCTCCTGTCTTTCAATCCAAGAGTCTGTTTACTAAACCATGGAAACCAACCTAAAGCTTGAACCAAATGTAATCCTGTTAGGTTCAAAATAATTCAGTTTATTAAATGACTTCCATTTTTGTACTCTTCAGTGCTTCTCAGTTTCATCAAATACCAAAACAGCACAAGCAAGAGTAATCCCGTGTCATTTCTACTCCAGACTCATTATGTATGGAAATCTTTAAAGATAACCTGACCATGTAAGATTTAAAGACCAAAGATGTCTGGATAAATCTCTGACTGGTAGATGCTTATCCGAGCAAACTTCCATATCTAGTGAGGTTCATCCATCAATAATTACCAGACCCCTTTGGAAATGTTTTTCATTACAGTGTGGGATTATCCAGATAACTTAGATTAGTTTCAAACATGATCTCCCTGAAATGACAAGCAGTTTTTTAAAACAAGCATGACTGAAAAGGAAAGCATTATCCTCCATAAACAATCTGAACATTCTAAATATGGGGTCTGACTACATTGCTTATACTTTCACATGTGATGTTCTGAAATCCAGAAAGGTAATTTCAAACAGAATGTCAAATCAAAGCCTTAGCTGAGAATCCTAAATGTCTGAGGTTGTAGGCCCAAAGTTTTTAAAAAAATGTGATATACATAGTACAACATCATGATGGTCATAGAATCATAGGACACTAGAACAGGAAGGGACCTCGAGAGGTCATTGACTCCAGTCCCCTGCCCTCGCGGTAGGACCAAGCACCATCTAGATCTGGAATTACCTATGGCTCTTCTGAAGTTAATATGCATCTCCTTGCTCAGGTACCGATTCCGGCGCTGCAGCTGCAGTGCCTCAACTCTTGGCTCTACCTCCAAGCATATTGCACCCTCCCTCCTTCCCTCTCCCACAGAGCCTCCTGAGTGTTATGAAACAGCTGATTGCAGTGAGAAGGAGGCGCAAGAAGGAAGAGGAGGCACTGATCGGGGGGGGATGCTGGTGGGCAAAATATACTGGAGACAGGAGAGGAGGCACCTGATGGGAACTCCTGACAAATTACTGTAGCTCTGTGGCAATGTACATTGGGAAATGGTTGCTTCGTCTCAGGCTGGCCACACCTGATGTAGATTATCCTTTAGCTACGTCTAGACAGCAGTGCTGTTTTGGGATACTTCCGGCATCCCAAAATAGCTATTCCGCATCTTTTGAGCAAGCTCATTATTTCAAAATAGATTTCAAAATAACGGGCTCACTATTCTGATGTCCAAAGGGACCAAAGGGACTCGGACCACAGAACCCAGGTCTCTTTCTTCTTTTTCTCTGACTGTAAGCTACACATTGTTTAGACTGAAATTATATAGGTGCCTTTTGTGCATGGGAAAAGAGCATGTCCCGAAATTAGAATGCCAGAAGTAGGAAAAACTAGGATGACTGAATGAAAAGCATTTGAAAAATAAAATTGATTGAATACACTTGGTTTCCTGTTTAATTTCTATACATGTATCCAGAATTAAACTTTAATTTTCATTCCATTTTAATAGAGTGGTGTATTAATTTTGATATAATTAAGCCTGCCAAGAATATATCTTTGGAATAGCACAGGGAGCTTTTCCTTGGGTAGTTAACTGTGTGCTGCACATTTCTACCTGCTTCTAGCTGAGCACAATGGGGAAGAGTAAAGATAAATTATTATTGGAAGCCTATATGATGACAAGAGAGATTACAAATGCTATTAAAGATTTAGCGTTAGGAGGGTGATGATGGAATACCAGTCAAATTTTGGATTTTTTTAACTGCCTTAGGATATTAGTGCCCTACTATCATTATAATTATGAGTTGATCTCTGGAGAAGCAAACGAGTCTCTGAAGCTTGCCAATTTAACAGGTGTCATTCACTCTTTTTTCCTCTCTCTCAATGCAAGCCTTGAAATACCCCTAACGGGCATGAAATAGTGAGTGAGTCTGAAAGAAAAAAAAGGAAGCATCATGAGAACAAAAGAATCTCAGCATTGGGAAGTCAGTGGTTCTGGCTTCCGCAGAAGCTTACTGTATTGTTCAAAATGCAATATTTGCTTCTTGATTTCTCTCTGGGCACACTGAACAATTCCCAAGGTCTCAAAGAAACTGCAGCATTGAAAGAAGAAGGAGAAAGTCGCGGGGAGAGGGGGACCAATTTTTCAGGGCTTGTTCCCGACAGAAAAGTACAGAGAATTCAGTGATTCCACCAGACTTGTTAAGCAGTTCTACTACTTTACTAATCCA